ATGAGTAGTTGGGTATTGCATGATTGAGGGCGTATTGGTTATGTTCTTTCGGGTTTTGTGTGGCATTGTGTCATCTGCTTCTCTGTGGTTATGGTAATGCACTTTGAGTACTTGATGTCGAATTGCGCATGGTTATTGATTTTTTTTTAGCAGGGTGACTTGAAGTATTTCATATGGACCAATATTTGGATAGGGTCGCGCATTGCAGCAGAGTTATGTGGAAATATGGTCCTTTGTGTTAGATTCGTCTGTTATGGTTCTATGGTGTGTGATAGGTTTAAGCATTTCGTTGTGGTGGTACTTGTTGAGCTTGCGAGACGGTTCTCTCGTTTGAGTCATTTTCCATAATTGAGTACATTTGGAATATTGCTTATTGGTGCACGGATTGCACGGGCTATGGCTTTAGATTGTATGGGTATGTCATGTCACTAGAGTGGTCGTGTTAGATAAGATGAGGTCATTAGACCTAAAATGGATACTATCGGATTTGATTACAGCATGTTTGGAAGGATAATATCGAAAGTCGGCTTAGAATTTGCTATAGTTCTTGTTGAATGAGAAGGAATTCCATGACTGGTTGATCTGATGAATGGTTATGAGTTCTGCATGTTCCTTTCATCATAGGCAGTGTACGAAGGTTTTAGAGCGAGGCTTTGTTTGATATGAGGTCTATTACCGGTATTGGGTTGTTTTAAGCAACTACTGTGATTTGAAATTTTTGCTATGAGTATTTGAGTTATATGGTACATCATGTGATTACATCTTGGGTTATAGATTTAGATATGGCTTGATACAGCTTGTTCAGACTTATACAGTGTGTAGATGCGAGATTCTGATCTTATAGAAATTATGGATGTTGGGAATTGGATTCTAAGGTCTATGGGCTAGGTTGAATTAAGAGACTACAGTTATGTTGTGTTGTCGGGCCTATATGGAATAGGGTAACATGGGATCACCCCCGGGTATGTGCATGGTAAGGTTATACGGCGGTTTAATGGCTTTGAGAACAACTCTGGACACGTTCGAGGACGAATGTATATTTAAGTGGGGGAGGATGTAACGACCTGACCGGTCGTTTTGAGCATTTGTACTTCGCTCGGTAGTTTACGGTCATGAGTAGCTCTGTATGATGTATTTTGACTTGTATGAATCGTTGGTTTTGGTTTTCAGGTATTTCGGAATCGAATTGGAAGAATGGATTTCATTGTTGAAGCTTTAAATTGAGAGAGTTGACCAAGTTTGACTTTTTTAGCATTTGACATCGGATTGGAATTTTGATGGTTCCGTTAGCTTCGTTGGGAGATTTTGGACTTAGGAGCGCGTCCGGAATGTGATTTGGAGGTCCGTGGTTAAATTTGGCTTGAAATGGTGAAAGTTGAAATTTTGGAAAGTTTGACCGGGAGTAGACTTTTTAATATCGGGGTCGGATTCCGATTTTGGAAGTTGGAGCAGGTCCGTAATGTCGAATGTGACTTGTGTGCAAAGTTTGAGGTCAATCGAACGTGATTTGAAAGGTTTCAGCATCGGTTGTGGAAGTTGAAGTTTCAAAGTTCAATGATTTCGAATTGAGGTGTGATTCGTTATTTCGATGTTGTTATGTATGTTTTGAGGCCTCGAGTAGGTCCGTGTTATGTTATGGGACTTGTTGGTATATTTGGACGTGGTGCCGAGGGGCTCGGGCATGTTTCGGATTGATTTTGGAGCATTTTGGAAATTTTGGCTAAGGTTCATTGTTGCTGGTTCTGGTATGACCGCACCTGCAGCTAGTTTGCGCATGTGTAATGGTCACAGAAGCGAGAAGAGGCTGGGTGAGGAAGACCGCAGAAGCGGATTTTTGTAGCGCACCTGCGTGCGCGCAGATGCAGGATTTGGATCGCATGTGCGTAAGGCTTCGCAGAAATGGGATTTGATATCCGCAGGTGCGGAAGGGCCAGTCTCCATAGGCTTCGCAAATGTGAGGCATCATCCGCAGAAGAGGAGGTCGCAGATGCGATATTTTAACCGCAAATGCGGAATAGCTGGGCAGAGTTATAGAAAGGGTTTTGTTCTTTCTTCATATTTTGAGATGTGGGACTCGGACTAAGGCGATCTTTGAAGCAAATTTCATCAGAAGGATTAGGGTAAGTGTCCTCTACTCAATTTTGATTACATTTTATGAATCTATCTTCATTTTTTGGTAATTGGTTGAGAAATTTTAACGAGAAATTGAGAATTTTGGCCTAAAGTTTTATAATATAGATTTTTGAGTTTTGAACATCGAATTGGAGTCCGAATTGAGTGAAACTAGTATGGTTGGACTCGTAATTGAATGGGTTATCGGATGTTTTGGAGTTTTGTCGGGTTTCGAAGTGCGGGCCCGAGTGTGATGTTTGGCCGGATTTGGGATTTGATTTAGGATTCGATCTTTATCATTTGGAATTATTTCCTTAGGCTTTATTTGATGTATTTGAATTGCTTTTGGTTAGTTTTGATCCGATCGAAGGTCGCTACGCGCGTGATGGCATTCTTAGAGCATCGCTTGGCTTGCTCAGTATTGGAATTGGCTTGTTCGAGGTAAGTAACTCTTCTAATCTTAGTGCTAAGGGTATAAAACCCTGTAATACATGTTATGTGATTGGTATTAAGGTGACGCACATGCTAGGTGACGAGCGTGTGGGCGTGCACCCTGTGAATTATGACTCCATTGTTTCCATGGCACTGTATAGTGGCCCTATTTTGTTGATATCCATGTTTTCACCATGTGATAAAGTAATTGAGCTGTCAATCATACTAGATATCATGTTTAGGCTTTATGTCGATATTTCATTGATATTTTGTACTCATTCATATTCATGCATTTATATCATATCTCAGTCTCAGTTGTTATTTATTTATTGATACATCATATCATTGTTGTCGGGCTAGTTTCATGACATTGTGAGCCCGTGAGTGAGACTGGAGAGATTGATGACTGAGTGAGGCCGAGAGCCTGATTATGAGTGACAGTAATGGGATCGGGCTGCACGCCACAGCATGCTATATTGATTTATGCTTGGATCTAGCTTATGATAGCGCTTGGGCTGTAGGAGCCCCTCCGGAGTCTTCACACCCCAGTGAGCGCGGTTGATATTATTGAGGGGTGGATCTTCCCTGGACATGAATCTTGTCTGAAGCATTTTATACCCGGAGATGGATCTTCTCCACGGGCCGGATTAGCCTTCCTCGGTACTGAGTGATTGATGGTCAGTGATGTATATATTCTGGGATGGATCTTCCCTGGGCCGTATGTGCCATATACAGTACCGAGTGGTTGAGCATGATGAGCGAAAAGTGTGAGATAGTGAGTTTGAGTACTCTGAGAGAGTGAGTACATGATTCATCTCTGAGATACATGGCATTGGCATGCACACATGATATACAGGCATAGAGATGTATTTTTTCCTCATGTTGTATGGTATCACGTCATTCATGATTTTTTTTTACACACATTGATATATGGGCATAAAGAGGTATTTCTCACTTGCTATCTGGAAAGAAAATGAAACATCTTATTTATTGTGGAAAGGATATTTGAAAAAATTACAGTTTTCAAACTTACTCGTATTTTGGCATTTTCGGTAAAAGATTGGGTTTTCACTAAGATACTTGAAAAGCATGACTATTTTCTGGGACGAGCTGAGCATTTTACTTCAGAGATACATCTTTTATTACTTGTATTATGTTGTTATGAACTGTTGTGGGATATTGGTATTCGACCCGACCTTGTGTTAGCTCGTCATTACTTTCAACATAAGGTTAGGTTTGTTACTTATTGAGTACATGGGGTCGGTTGTACTCATACTACACTTCTGCACCTTGCATGCAGATGTTGGTTGCTGACGTTGCTGTGTTCGATGGGAGCTGGATTGAAGATGTACCTACGTCCCGATTGTAGTTGCCTCTTGTTCGTGGTAGCCTTAGATCTATAAAACTCTGTTTATGTACTTTTCAAACAGACTATGTATTTATTTAATTTCCGCTTTGTAAACTCTATTCTTAGAAGCTCATGATTTGTACTACCAGTTCTTGGAAAAATGTATTAGTTTCATATAATTTCTTTTGAATAATTGTCTTATTAATATTATTGGAATTGGATAGATGTTAATTGCCTTACCTAGCGGGTTGGGGTTAGGTGCCATCACGACTAGTTAGATTTGGGGTCGTGACAAGTAGTTAGTATTCAAACCGAATAAACTGAAGTTACCGAACCGAATAAACCGGAACCGAAAGGATAAAAACCGAACCATACCGAATTTAATTAGGTACGGTATTGGTATAGCATTTTAAGAAATCACATACCGAAAAAACCGAACCAAAATATCTAAATACCGTACCGTACCGACCAACGAACACTGCTAAATAAAAGTGTACTTACTTTAAATTTAATTTGACACTACAAACTATACTATTTGATTAGCTATATAGGCAACCCTACTAATATAAATAGAAAAAATGTACATCATATCTCATGATACATAAAAACTAAAAGAAGAGGATGTTGATAATTAAGGGGAAATAGATATACAATTTATAAAATTACCTGTCAATACTCAAATATATTGAGATAAGACTTAAGAGGGAAAGAATATCTTTACTTTAAAATTGGAGAGAGAGACAGATAGAGAGAGAGAGTTTGACTTTTAACATCAAATTGAATGTAGAAAATCATTTTCACCCGATGTAAAATGCATAATCTGTAGTTTCAAAATGATATTATTGATTCCTAGCAAAACAAATGCAAACATATCTAGGCTTTAATTTTCTTCTCTAAGACACAATGATTTTAAACCAACTTAAGCCACATTAAATAAGTTTTTTCATTAAACAATTACAGGGCAAAAAATAATAAATAGAATTACCCATTTGCTATTTCTAGGCAGTGAATTCAAACAGTTGAACATTGAACCATGCTATTTAACTTCTTGGCATAAGCAAAAAAGAAATAAAAAACACTTGGACAAGTTGATATGTACTGGAAATCAATGGCACAGCTAAATGTATTCTTGTGCTTCCTAGTGTTGTTATCTTTCACAAGTTTTTGTCAGGTAAAGTATCATTAATTAGCTAGTTGTGTTATGCGAAAGAGCACATTTCTGATGAATTTCGTCGAAAATATGCGTATTTTTTAGTAGTGATGTAAAATTAATGTTTGTAATGCAGGGAGCTAAGTGGTGGTGTGTGGCAGATGAATGGGCTACTGATGTAACGTTATCAGCCTTTTTGGACAGAGCATGTAACAGAGGCTATTGTATTGACATAAAACCTGGAAAACCTTGTTTCTTGCCTCCTACCATTCGTAGCCATGCTTCCTATGTTCTAAACCTTATGTATACCAGAACTTCTAAATGTCCTCCTCATTTGGGCATTCGTGTACAAAACGATCCCTGTAAGTTTTCTCTTAACTTCATATTGTGTTGCTATCTTTCATCAGCGAGATTCAGAACTTAAATTTAATATTTTTATGATTTTGTATGTTATTTGTCTAATTTGATAATTTTGCAGCTTATGGAAGATGCAAGTATCGATAAATGGAGTTGCTTACCAAGAGAATTCTTTCAATTAGAGGATGCAAAGTGCTTTGTACTAATAGAGTAATTTAAATCATGAAGCGTAGTTGAATATAAATGATTGATTCCTAGCTCGTCTATCAATCATCTTAGCAAAATGTGTAACATATGCTCCTCTTTTTTAGTTTCTCTATGGAATATATTTGAGATAAATTGATCCGAATTTCCTACATAGTACTAATGTTTGATGTGAAGGAATTTGGTTTATGATTACCTATTTTCGCAAAGTTACAAATCGGAGGGAAAAAAGGGAAAAATAGTAAAGGTAAAAATAACATTTTCTTCATTACTTGGCTTCGTCACCGAGAATAAGAAGGTGAAATTAGTGGATGATTCTCGTTATTGTGTCATCAAATCACTTAATTATGATAAATCAATATGATTGATGTAAATATTCAGGGGTAAATGTTACATGTCATTTACGTTTTATTTAGAACAAAATCGTCTTAAAAAAACAAAGGAAAGGAGGGATGAAATCGCAAAGTATATTTTGAATATAGAGTGCTATCTCTGCTAATCTTAATATATTTAAGTTACAAACATTGATATGTGTAAGGAATTATCTATACGATGTAATTTTATTTGGTTAAAATAAATTATCATTTTTTCAGTTTACCTGTTAATACTTAAATAGATACGTGCAATTGCTCTATTTAGTAATATAATTTTGTAAATATCCTTTCAAGCAATTTACTACAACAACAACAACAACAACAACAACAACAATCCAGTAAAATTCCACTAATGGGGTCTGGGGAGGGTAGTGTGTACGCAGATCTTACTCCTACCCCAAAGGAGTAGAGAGGCTGTTTCCGAAAGACCCCCGGCTCAAAAAAAAAAAGGACAAAAAGGCAAAAAAAGAGACAATATTAGTATCACAACAACAATCATAGGATAAATAGAAACACCATGAAATCCAGAAGAAGGATGCAAAGCAAAGGGAGACAATATTAGTAAATATTAGTATCACCACAACAATCATAAGAACAATAGGAACACCATAAAATTTAGAAGAAAGATGCAAAGAAAAAGCGATAGCTAGTAAATAGGACATGCAGTGAAAAGTGAAATAGTAAGCCACAATATTGCCACTAACTATCTCGGACAAAAACCCTACATGGCTAGTCCCACAATAGTACGAAGTAGACACGACTCAACTACCTCCTAACCTACAACCCTAATACTCGACCTCCACATCTTCCTATCTAGTATCATGTCCTCGAAAATTTGGAGTCTCGCCATATCTTGCCTGATCACCTCTCCCCAATATTTCTTAGGCCACCATCTACCTCTTCTCGTGCCCTCCACAACCAGCTACTCACACCTCCGTACCGGAGCATCTAGGCTTCTCCTCTGAATATGTCCGAACCATCTAAGCCTCGCTTCCCGCATTTTGTCATCAATGGGAGCCACATGCACCTTTTCCCGAATATCATCATCCCTGATCTTATCTATCCTAGTGTGCCCACACATCCACCGCAACATTCTCATTTATGCTACTTTTATTTTCTGGATATGTGAGTTCTTAACGGGCCAACACTCAGCCCCATACATCATGGCCGGTCTAACCACCGCTTTATAAAATTTACCTTTGAGTATCGGTGGCACTCTCTTGTCACACAGGACTCCAGATGCTAACCTCTACTTCATCTATCCTACCCCAATACGGTGTGTGACATCCTCGTCGATCTCCCCTCCCTGGATAACCGAACCAAGGTACTTAAAGCTGCCTCTTCTCGGGATG